TGCATATCAGTTCACTTTTCTATTTTCTATCAGAAAACAGACGTGGAGCGGCAGGCGACGGAGAAATGCTCTCCTTTCCCTGCTTCACTATTGGTCTCTCTTCTAAAGGGTTGTTCTGGTTTTTTTGTTGTTTTTGTTTTTTTTCTAAGCTGCCAAATGTAAAAAGAACACACACAGTGGCTCCTGCTTGTAAAGTATTGTCTTACGTTGTTTAGATTTAAAACTCTTTCTCATAGACATGCAATTCAGTGGCTCCTGCTATGAAAAGTATTGTCTTACGTTGTTTAGATTTATCAGTTTTAAGTTCTTGATGGACATTCAAAAATCAATTTTCTCTAATATATGCTGTTAATTATACCTGCAGCTTACATTACCCTGAGGGTCAGTAAACACTATCAAAATGCTCTAGCTTTTTTTTTGGCTTACTGTAAGCCATGTTATCTATTTTTCGGCTTAATATTTAGCATATTTTGGTTACTCTAAGCCAGTGGCCATCAACCTTTTTTGTAGGAAGAACCAGTCTGCCGGTATCAGCTGTTACTGCGGACTAGTAATACCTCGCCATTGTTGAAGGATCGTTAAATTTTTAAAATCAAACCTCTTTCAGACTAGTCAATTGGTGGTCAACATTTGTCATATTTTCTGGGACTGGATATCTTCCAATTGATTTTGCTTTGTTTCTATATTAAATCACCTACATATGTGAGTCAGGGCCATTTTCATTTTTTTTTTTCTTTTTTTTTTAGATGCCTCTAGGTACAGAACCAGTGACTCACAGCTGCCTGATCATATTTAGAACTAGTGACTCACAGCTGCCTGATCATATTTTATTATTGCACTGTTGATTCGCGACTCTGCTGAGAGACAGAGGGCTGGACCTCAGTGTGTATTGTGTTCAGACGGTACATGAAATAATTGCTGCTATGTTTTCATCCAGACTTGACAGGGACAGAGAGGTGATGCTCTGAACAAATTGTGTGATTTTCACTCTGCAGTGGTTTCAATCAGAGATTTAATTCCAGGAATTAACCTGAGCAGCTCTTCTTACATCCTCAGCCTCTGTCTAATGTCACAAAACAAATAACCAAAAGAGTGAGAGAGAGAGTTATCGTTTGTCTTTTTCTTCATCTGTGTCAGCTTCCCAACCTGTGGAGAACAGACTGTGCCAGCGGCCGATCCCTAACAGGTCTCAGCTTTGCCATGTCCCCTGTCCAATAGAGTGTGAGGTCTCGCCCTGGGGTGCCTGGGGGCCCTGCACCTATGAAAACTGTGAAGACCAGAGTGGGAAGAAAGGTATGGGAATTTTTTCAAGTCAAATCAAATTCATGCCAACTGTTGGAGTTGCCCTCCTGTTCAACTTATATTTTTCTTGTGTTGAAAAAAACCACACCATGATTAAGGTTTTTGTACATGTTTTACTATTTTATATTATAAATATCATAGGACATTTGGCTATTTCTTCCTCTGGTTTCCTGTAACCAAACAGCTTAAAGTCCTTCTCATAGAGCGCGTACACTTTCCTCCGGTCCTCTAGCGTGACTGTTTTGAACCAGTTAAATACAGACTTAGCGGTAGTCGCATCGGCCTTAGAGGGTGAGAGCTTGATGCCTTCAGGGAGATTTAAGATCTTCATCAGCTGTTCAATGTCCTCCTCTAGGGTCTCTTGATGTCCAACGAAATCATACCTAAGAAAGATAAACAATAGAGAGGTAAACCGCATGGAATAAATAAAGTCAACTTTGTGACACTAGGTTTTTTTGTGCAGATTGGCATTCAGGGATAAACAAGAGGCTGCAGCTTGGTTGGGCTGATACAGACAGACAGATGGACAGATTTTATTGAGTCCAAGCTGGGATATTACAGTGTGCAGTGTGTACACTCCATGATTTTTTACATCCTCCGATGTTGTTGAAATGTAGCCAGGTGCTGCTGCTACTACTCTGTTCTTTGCTGACTGTATTCTGTAGCAGACATTTGTCACGAGTTTTTCCTGTTTTCCGCAGGTTTTAAACTAAGGAGACGACGGATCACCAACCAGCCGACAGGAGGTTCAGGAAACTGCCCCCACCTGGTGGAGGCACTGCCTTGTGATGATCCCTCCTGTTACTACTGGCAGCTGGTCAGCCTGGATCAGTGTGTCCCCGGAGACGGGAGGACGTGTGGCCCCGGAGCTCAGCTGGCTCAGGTCCAGTGTGTCAACAGCAGTGGTGAGGAAAAAAAAATGAAATCACTCTCAGAATTAAGAGGTTTCAGCTACACTTCACTGCTTTTACCTCATGAAAAGTCAGGGATGGTTGAAAATATATACAATACGGACAAAAACAGAGTTGTGTGCTTTAGCTATAAACCAAAAATAAAGTTGCGTGTACTTTGAGTTACTTCAATATCTATAGTCAGTTGAATTATTCAGAGTTTAGAAATGTTCTGATCTTCTCCCCAGAACAACAGAGAGTACGCAAAGTCCCTACTAAATAAAATACAAAGAATATTCTTAGTATTCTTAAAGAATTATAGGTTCTTGTTCTATTTCTCTGGAGTGTAGGGATGTTGACACAAATGTCCTGTCAGCATCATTCATTCCATCCATGCTTTTCTGTCATCTTTAGCTATTATATTACTATTAGCTTTCTTTTGGCTCTCTTTTCTAACGCACTTACACTATATCTTGATCCTTCGTAGAGTCTAATGTCAGCCTGGATCATTTCCAACCTCTGTCCTTCCAGCCATAGCAGCTTTAGAAATAAATTAATAATTGTTTTAGACTTGATTTTGTAATGCGTTCGTCCACTCTTGATTGACTGACTGCCTCGGTGATGCACTTCAGGTTTCGTCTTTGTGTGTGAAAAATATTCCTTATATAATCTTCAAAGTCACCTTCGTCCTGTTACTTCTCCAGCTCTGAGTGTAACATGCTGAGTACGTGAGGAGATTCCTGCACCCACTTCTTCTTCTGCCCATTCATTACCTTTCTCCTTAGGTGAAACCTCCAGTCTAATGCAGCGGTGCCCCCACTGTTCCTCTCTACACGCACTATTAAACCTCATTCCCTCTAAATCCTTTTCAGAGCGTCTTCTGACCTTTTCTGCTCCTGCTTTTTACTGCAGCTGGTGGTTACTGTAAATCTGCAATATAAAAGGCTGAGGAGCTGACATGTTTACTGGACCTCTCCTAGGGTTACACTCAAAGGTCGCTCGATGATAGGAGTCCTCTTGATTTGTTTCCTGAGTATGTAAGGTTCTTCTCTGTCGCAGTACACTGTCTCTCCAAATATTAATCCAGATTTTATTTTACTTGATCATCAAAACAGTACAATAATACTTTTTACTTCTTCCTGGTTGGAAGACTGTGGATGCTCCTTCCAACTCATACTCATCTTCTTGTACTGCAGCTGAAAATAAAAATTTCTCTGCCCTTTCTCCCTCAGGCTTCACTTGATCGATCCCTCCCTTGTCCCCTCTCTCAACTGAAAATGGATTTGTTCTGTTTTTTGAGTTTTTTGCTGCACTTTTTTTCCTCCTCAGAGGTTTTTCCACTGCATTCTCAAAAGTATATTTTCCAAGAGACAGTGTATCGTGGTCATAAAAGAGAAGGCCACACAGTCAAGGCCCCAGACAGCAGACCAAGGTCAATGTAAGTGTTATTGAAACCAGTGGCCATTGATATTCCCAGTAGTGACTGACTCACCACGTGAGTTGGCACTCAGGCAGCGAGGTGTTTCTGCTCCGCTCTCGGAGCTCAGAGGTTTTCCTCCTTAGCCTGCTTCTTCTCTTTCATTCATATTTACAGCCAGTCTGGGTGACACAGCAAAACACTGCTATCTGTTTTGTAAATAATACACATGTAAAACTGTGCTACACTAGGTAGCTTTTGTAAGTAGCATTATCTTTAAGCATTAAGCTTCAGCAGCCTTTTCCATTAGTATACAGTGGTCCCTCTCCTATCGTGGTAGTTGCGTTTCAAGATCCAGCGTGAAATGGGAAAAATTGCAGAGTAGAGGCGAGATAGTTATATTATTTACGTATATATTTACCCATTACAAACCTCCCCCACACTGTTATTAACCCTCCCTAGGCTGTATTACCCTTTCCAACACAATTATATACACAGTAGAGTTGTATAATGGCGACGCAGAGCGAAGTGAACGAGCAAGTGGCCGACAGACGAGGGGAGATGTTGAGAGATGCTACAATGCATGAGCCAATCAGCGTGAGGAACAGAAGAGCATGATCAATCAGCCAATAGTACACAGAGTACGCATCTTGTCGAGGTAAACAAAGCTACCAGTGATTGTTCGCAAATGCACTTATCTCAATTTTAAAACGAGAATCCACATTTTTAAAGCCAAACTTTTGTTTGTATAATTATTTTATAATGTCTAATTTTGCGATATAGCGAAAACATTTCATGATATCGGATTAAAAAAAAAAAAAAATCTGCGATGTACTGATGGACCGAAAATAAAAACACAGTATAGAGAGGGAACACTGTATACCTCTTTTGATAAAAATGCATTATGAGTAATTTAGTAGAACCAACATTTTCTTTGGACACGTTAGCATTACTAGTCTCACTAGAGTTTGACCTCCTGAGGGCAGCACCATCATTATCGTGGACTACTGCTATTGCAGTTGTAGCAGTACATAATGATTTACTTAGCAGCACATCAGCTTATACAATTGTAGGCAGTGCAAGATGTTTTTCGTGATGCATGTAGTGACCAAGCTATCTTTTATTCCCACTACAAGCAGGAGTAAAATCTTTTAGTGTTCTATTATAATTATGTAATATAATTATACCTTTTATGTGAGACCTAAAATAAGCTTGAGTAAAACTGCTCCTACCACCACTGTTGTTAGCA